CAGGATTAGATTTAGATTCAGGAATAACATAGAAGTGATGTTGTGTCCTTCTCAGAATATCCTATTTAGAGGTTTATATGCTTGGTTTGTCCCACTATAAGTGATATTAAATTGATCACTTGGTTAGAAAGGTATCCATAAGTTCTCTCCATTGTAAAGATACTATTTCCCCATGATGACTAATAAAAAACTTATGAGGAGATACTCCATTCATCATCAAACTCTCACTGATTAGTTTTAGTAACCATTCATGATCCTCTTACTACATAATTCCTTTTGTATTCATTAGTTAGCATTCTACTGTAAGGAACATTCTCTTCTTTCCTATTTACTTACTTATCTAGTGATTGATTTATACCAGAGTGAAATTACAGTTTCTTATTTTAGTCAGCTGTTAAAATCTGTTACTATTACTGTATCCCAATTTTGATATTTAAGTTGCTCTAGATTTGTCCATTGGAAGCTCCCTGCAGATATATCCTCTGTCCTTCTGATATATTGCCATCTTTTCAAGCCTTTCTAATTTTCTAGCAAAACAAGATTTTCCAGGCTTATCTAATACTTTCTGTGTCCTAGACCTGGAATTTTTTCTCCACAGACTTCTGATTCCTTTTAAAGTGAAGAATGGTTTTTAGACACCAAAATCTGGGTACTAACTGTACTCATTGCTACTGGAATGTCATAGCTTCTAGTACTTCTCAGTGACAGGGCTGAAGTAGATACAGAGATATATCCAACAAAATATGTGTAAGACAAATATACTAAAAACTACATTACTGGGAGAAATTTTAAAAGACTAGAATAGATGGATAAATCCACTATGTTCATGGATTATAAGACTCATCATTATTAAGTTGTCAATTATGAAAATGTCTTAGCATCTTACAAAGCTGCAAGTCTATATATTGGCTGGGATTGTGGTCACATCTGGGGCTCGAATGGGGAAATATCGACTTCTGCACTCACACAGGTTGTTAGCAGAATTTGGTTCCTTGTATTTGTAAGACTGAGGGATCCATTCTCTTGCTGACAGGAACTCCTTGTAGGCTGTCAGCTGGAGGGTACCCACAGCACTTAGAAACTGCCTGCATTTCTTCATCATGTGGGATTTCTCCCCGTGATACAACTCACACCCACACACAAACCCACATATTTAATTTTTAACCTCCAATTCCATTTCAACACCACAATGTACCTTCTAGTCTTCCCCCTTCAATAGTGAGGAAACTGGATCCCATTATAAGTGCAAATATATTAATTTTCTCAAGCCTGGAATACACTGGAAGGTTGCAAAGGGGACAGAATATACTGTATGGGATTTGAATGAAAAAAAAAGCAGGTCAGTCACTGATATGAGGAATTCTTAATCGCAGGACACAAACTGAGGGTTGCTGGAGTGGGGGGTGGGGTGGGAGGGATGGGGTGACTGGGTAATAGACACTGGGGAGGGTATGTGCTCTGGTAAGCGCTGTGAATTGTGCAAGACTGTTGAATCTCAGATCTGTACCTCTGAAACAAATAATGCAATATATGTTAAGAAAAAAAAAAAAAAGGAAGAAGAAGAAGGTAGCAGGAGGGGAAGAATGAAGGGGGGGAAATCGGAGGGGTAGACGAACCAGACGATGGACTCTGAAAAACAAACTGAGGGTTCTAGAGGGGAGAGGGGTGGGAGGATGGGTTAGCCTGGTGATGGGTATTGAGGAGGGCACATTCTGCATGGAGCACTGGGTGTTATGCAACAAACGATGAATCATGGAACACTACGTCTAAAACTAATGATGTAATGTATGGGGATTAACATAAGAATAAAAAAATTTAAAAAAAAAAAAAGCAGGTCAGGAAAGATTTCATGACTCCTGTAATTTACATTCCTTTTTTTGAGAATTTGATCATCATTGATTTATTTTTTTCTAGTTGTATGATCAAAACCTCAACAGTAGAGGTAGGTAGAAGTCAAATCATGCGGAACTTTGTAAGCCACATTAGAGAGTTTGGGTTTTATTCTACTACGATGGGAATTGGAGGCCTTTCTGTTAGGCCTCCATTGTGCATTTGTTTGTTGTAAATAGCATTAACAGCATTTTTAAAGTTATTTCCTGATAATGTTTATTATTTACTCAATCTTCAACTCATTCTAAAACAAGATTGGGGATGCTTAGGGCAATCCATACCAGTAAGTTAAAACATTAAAAAATCTATCAGATAGGGATAAAAAATAAAATGGAGCTGGGAAACAAGAGGTCAGGGTGAGGTCACCTTTAAGAACTTTAAAGTTACAGAGATTTGTTACAAATTTTATCTGAGATCTCTGGAGACTAGAACAGTTTGAAATAACTCATCCCCCAAACCACTGTGATATGCTCACTTCAAGTAACCAGCCTTCACAAGAACCCCCAATCTGCCATGTATACCACACAGAATTCAGACTCGCTAATGGCAGAATCCACGGATTGTTTTTCTTGCAGTAACTTTTCAGAAAACTCTCTGGTTTCTGATAATTTAACCCTTTCAGGTTAAGAGAAAAATGGACAGTTAGATAGTGCTTGTTTATTTAATCAAGGCAGCCAGCTGAAGCAAACAATTCAAGCCAAAAATTCACTTCATTTTTTGTAGGAAAGTATAGTTTTAAATTATAACTGACCCTCTGTTAGGAGAAAGGCATGGATTTCCACAGGGAAAAACTGAGCACTGAGGACAAAGTCTCGAGTTCACGAGCACTGTAATCACACATCAGGATCACAGAACTCGCATTTTAAAATCTGATATAATTTATTGCACATTATTTCACATTCTACTGCTTTGCTTACTTTTTGTTGGTTTGTGGTTACTTGCATACATCAGTGAAGTTTCAGAAAAACTATAATTATAGAAGGACAATTATTTAATGCAGGAAGGATAAACCATTGCATTGGCGGGTTGGAAGACATTTTTTAAAGTTCTTATATTATCAATTTAATTATGCATTTCTATGTAGTAATACTCATTCTATGAGTAATGTCTAACATTCTTGCCAAGAATAGTTTGAAAGGACTTTGTTAAAAGTATGTCAGCTAAATCACTATGGGTATATCACTGCTAATGGTGTCGTTCACACGTTGTGAAACATACAACTCCGTATTTCATTCTGCCCCCAAATTAGGTCATTGCAAAATACCGTTATTAAAACTGCAAATTGCGGGACAAGGAGATGGAGATGAGAACAAAGCAAAAGGAAGACACCCATTCCTTTTTGGAAAGCATGATTGGGATAGGACAAAATAGAGTAGGAAAGCTGAGCCCTTTGAAACGGATACTTTTTTGTGGGGTGTGTGTTAATTCCATTTAAATATAAATGACTAATAAAACTTGGGCTAACCAGTCTGCTCTGTACTATCCGCGGGTAGCGTCTATGCTCTCTAACCTAATTGTACAGAGGTTCCCTTGTCTTCTGACTTCATACACAAACCATGATGATTATTTCAGTTTTACCTTTTCCTTTTCCCAGAAAATCTTGTTGCAGTCATAAAAAGGGAATGTTTGATGCAAAGACGCCTAATTTATAATTATTTGTGGTTATTAACAACATAGTAATTACGGAAATGCCTTTGTTGGAAGTTACCCACCAGGAGCCGCAAATCCGTGGCACACACCCCCGGGCTGCCTGGGCTCGGAGGAAGGTCGATCCCTGCGCCTTCCAGACCCCAGCCCTGGGGAGGAAAGCGAGGCCGGTCGGTCACTGTTCACTCAGACCTGAGAAAAGTCGCCAGGGTAGCCGCACCTCTTACTTTTGGTGGAAGGTTCCCCTGACTCCAGCTTTCAGGACTTGGGATGGGCGCACACATCGCGACTCTCCCTTTCCTACTGCGGGGCACTCTGCGAACACACCCCCAGTCACCTCTGCGCGCTCCCCGGAACCCGCTCAGCCCACAGCGCACCCCAGCGGCCGAGCGGCCTCCTTCCAGCGGCGGCCACGTAGCTGCCGGCGAGCTCGCCAGTTGCCTCCGCCGCCGCCTTGGAATCTGGGGCCCCGACGGCCGGCGAGACCCCGCCTCCGCCCGACCCCGGGGAGGCCGCGCGGCTGCTGCGCCTGCCCCAGCCGCCGCACCTGGGAGCGGTGATCACCAGGAGAGGTGGGGCGTGGCAAGAGGCTGGCCGGGCGCCGGAGCAGCTTCGCCAAAAGCCAGCCGGACCGGCGCAAGGCGGAGGGGGAGGGTCTCGGGGCAGAGGCCGGCTCCTCCGAGGGAGAGACCCCAGCTGGGGTGGAAAAGGGCACAAAGCAGCTGCACAGACGCTGGGCGCGGATCATGGAGCGGGCCAGCCCCGGCTCCGGGGAGTCGAAGCTGCAGCGGGACCAGGATTCCGTGGAAGCGTGGCTGGATGATCACTGGGACTTTACCTTCTCTTACTTTGTTAGGAAAGCCACCAGGTAAGAAGAGGGCCCCTGGAAGACCCACCCGGGGCGCTGAGAGTGACCTGGGGGCTCATCTCTCTCCCTTACTGAACTTTCCTCTTCCTTTACCATTAAACGACCTCGGTTCCCAGGCCCTTTGCTTTTGAAGTAGGTCTTTGGTCCTGCTAGGGTGTAGACACCTCGACTTTATGGCTAGTACAGTCGAAAAGCCCAAGCGTGGGATTCGATCCAACTTGCTCAAAAAGTTCAATGCAAAAATGTACATGCGGACCCCCCCCCCCCCCCCACACACACACAGCCCGGCTGCCCCGGTATTCCCTGAGAGCAAGATTATTTACATACATCCGCGCTCACGGGCCTTCCCCCAGCCCTTCTTTAGCCTCCCAGTCCCCCTAAATCTCCTCAGCGAAACCAAAACAGTTTTGAGCCCCTTCCCTGCGGCTCCGGAAGCACCATTTCCAACTCGGTCCCAGCAGCTCCGCTCCTCCCCCGTCCCCCCTCGCCCTGGCCCTTGGCGGGGCGGGGAAGTCGGGGTAGGGGCGAGACCACGAGGAGCCCAAAGGCAGCAACATGCCGGAATCTTCCCAGAGTAAGCGCTGTCGCCTTTTGCCCCTTTCCAGTCCCTTGCTTGGCCCGGCGCTTCCTTTCACTCTCTCTTGCTCCCAAGGCGGCGCCGCTGGAAGGGCTCCGCAGAGGGGTTCGCGGCGCGCACACAAAGGGCGCTGGGGAGGCGCGGCGGGAGCCGACAGCGGGGCGCTGACGGGTCCCGCGCAGCCCCAGCCGACCCCAGAGGCCAGCTCTTCCCGGTCGAGAGCCAAGCGCCGGGGCGGCCGCTGCCGAGGGCGGGGCGGAGGGTGCCTGTCCTTTGGGAGGTGGCTGCCCGGGGGGCAGTTGGGGCGCGCGTGGGAAACGCTCCCGGAGAGTTGGGGAGGAATTGAGGTGGAAGCCGAGGAAGGAGGGGCCGGAGCGGAGAGTGGAGGCGGGCGGATGCCCTGAAGCCTGAGGAGTTGGTGGGAAGCCGCTGGCGCGGGCAAAGGCTTCTGCACGCGGACTCCGACTGCCTCCAGGACGCGCCTCTTTGGAGAAGAGTCCCGAACCCGCCGCCGCCGCCGCCGCCGCCTCCAGGCAGCGGCCGTCGGGCAGCTGGCGCGGGCTGCCTTGGCCGCCAGGAAAGCGCTCTCAAGGCGGTGATGGTGGAGCGGCCGGCCGAGGCCCGGCGCTGGGCTCCCCCCCGCCGGCGGTCGGCCTCCGCTCTGCCGGGCGCTCCCCGCCAGGGGGCGGCGCAGCGCGGAGCGAGCGGGCTGCGGCGGGCGGCGGCCCGGTGGCGGGGTCGGTAAGGGAGCAGGCGTCGAGTCACCGCCTCCCCTGGGCACGTCGTCGCCCCCCGGCGCCTCCCGGAGTCCAGAGTCTGCGGAGGCCGCGTGGTCTGCACGTGGACCTTCCTATGTTTGCTGTGTTGCCCTTTGGAGACAAAACAAGGTAGTCCCTTCAGCCTCCCCCCACTTGCCACTTTACCTTGGGGGCGCCCAGCGGGGGGCGGGGGGGCAGAGGGATGCTTCATTGAAAATGGACTGTCTGATATTTTTGTCTTCCTTTATGCTCTTACGGTGTATTCCTTTGGGATTTTAGAAGGGGCTCTTTTTAAGGCAGTTTCTCCTAAACGAGTTTGTGTCGATTTCATCCCTTTCGGGGGTTTTGGACCGAGGCGATAGCTTAGGGCAAATCTTATCTCTTCTGTTTAATTACTCCGCCCTCCTTTTAAAGTCCTCTTTCCCCGCTTTGGCTGTCTTCCTTCAAAATCTGAATCTGGAGCAACCAGAGGATAAACCCTGAAAAGAAAAGTGGTTTCTTTTCAAAGGACAGTTTCCTGCGAGTTCGGGGTGAGGCACGAAGGCCATCTAGATCTGGAACTATTGATTGTTGTGGGCCCCCAGTTTTCAAAGGTCACCTGCTACTCCGAGGCCATCTGTCCCTAGTTTCCTTTCACCCTTGCGCACTTCCACTTTTCTGCCCCCATTGAATGGGGAGCGGGCAGGAGAGCTGGGCTGATTTTTTTCAGTGTGTCAGGCTGTTCTTTGGAGATGTTCTGTAGGCAGATTATTAGTAGTTGAAAGAAAAAAGTGATTTGTCTTACAAGTCAACATCAGTGTCCTCTTCTTTTTTTCCTTCTCTCCCTTTAAAGACAGAAACTTAGGATAGTTTGGTGATCTTTTTAAGTAGTCATACATAAGAACACTTCACTCAGAGCCTGCCAAATCTTTGAAAGTAACATTTTATTGGAAGTTAAATGGAAGGGGTTACATTTAATTTTCTTTTCACATTACTTTTTCTCCCAAGTAGCACAGGATTACAGTCCTCATTTCTCAAAGTTACACTTTTCTGTGTAAAATTCAGATCATCTGAAACTCTGTATAAAGACTTTTTTAGTTACGGTTTTTATATTATAGTTGATGTTGACAATAGGCTGACCACTTTCTATGACATGTATGTGTATATATATTCTTATATATTTCTAAGAGTTTATGTTGAGTAAAACGTGGAAAACGAAAGTGTAAAATATTTAAGAGTAGTACAGGCCCTCCTTAAGTATAAAGTGCTGAAAGTTGTCAGTTTAAAGAATACGACCTAAGAGCTTGTGTGTAGTCAGAGGTTCCTGTTTGGGCTTATATTTGGTGGCATTAACTAGAGATTTAAGATTGAGAGATTAGACAGTAGTTGATTATAAAAATTCCAAACTTCTAAACCCAGTGTGATTCATATGGTTGTGGTAAAAACTTATTGCAGACATTTTAACTTTATAGCTAGGATTTTTTTTTTTTTCTTTTAACTAGAAGCTGTTACTCTGCTTTTATCCTTTTTGTTACACTCTGTAAGTGTAAAATGAGTACTGTGTGTGATTCAGGACCCCATGAGACAGTTCTGTAGAAACATTTAACATGTTTTTAAATTTAAAATAAATTTGGATTCACTTAGATTGGCCATCTGTGCCGGTAAACAGGCATGTTGATGGAACTACTTCCATGCATGACATTCATGCATGCTTTTTTATCCTATTCCCAAACTGAATGATCTGTACTCAGTAGTAGTCACTGAACAGAATGAAGGTTTCTGGCATCCCTAAATTCTCATTTAAATACCTGTGAATTTTGGTTGACCTTGAAAGCAGTTCGGCTGCTATATTACATTGTTTCCTATAACTATCTTCAAATACAGAGCTAAGCACCTAGTTCAAAGCTACAAGCTTGGAGCATAGATGCTTTTTAGTAATCACAGCCTGTTGATGTGAATTTGAGTGTCAGTTGAACAATTCATAACATAATCTATTGGCATAAAAATTAACTGGAGACTAGTAAACTACAACATACGGAAACTCCCACCCTCACCATTCTAGACAACTTTGCAGTTCTACCCGCCTGAGATACTACTGTGTTAATTAAGGGCTCTAATCTTCATGCTTTTGCAAATGAAGGCTTCCGGGTGCTAATGCCACTTTAACAGCTGTTGTTATTCTTGACAGCATATTAAAATAATGTTACCTTTCATTAGTTACTAATCATTTCTGCCATTGTGGGTTATGTTTTAGATCATTTAGTATTGTAGGGGTAACGTGATTGACTTCTTATTGCTTTGTTTTGTACTAGGCAAAAGCTTGAGAATATTTGACATATAATGGAAATAGGAGTTACTAATGAGGACCAGTTTTTATGACCGCTTGGATCAAAGTCCAGAAACCGAAGTTTTACACTTCCATGTAACTTTCTATGAGAGACTTTTTACTTGACACTGCAAAACTGTGCTGAATTAGTTGACATTCTGGGTCCTGTGTTTGAGACTTTTTTCTTTTCTCTTTTCTTTCTTTCATATTTTTTTCTTATCTCTAAAAGCTGTAACATTTTTATTGGCAAGATATTTGTATTAAAATCAGATGATGGATATAAAATAAATATTGCCATCCACTTTTTAAAAACACTGTTTCTGTAATTACATAGGAATATAGTTTTCAATTTTCAAACAAATGATTTGTTAAGCATATTTTATTAAGCTGTCAGTAGTGTTGAAGATAATAAAACCCTGTGGTTATTGACTCAGTGTGACTTTAATATTATTTATAATATTTTTTATGATGGTAATTCTGATGCAGGAATGACCTTTTCTTTTTGTATTGTTTAGAAACAGGGTTCATATGGTCAGCTTTAAGCTGCTTTTTTAGTGCCCTGAAAGTACTCATGTGTATCAGATTCTTTCCTCCTAAAAGAAGCTGTAGGAGCCCTTATAATGATGTTTCCCATTGCCCTTCTATCGCTAGTGTTCTCAGGGTTTCAAATTCAGATCCATTTTAGAGTCTGCAATGCAAGGTCATGATTCCTAACAATGTGGTAGAATTAATGCAGTGGCAATTATTCATAGTTGCATATCTCAAAATAAATCTATTTGCTTAGCTAACAAAAACTTAAGTAGGCATATAGTACAATTCAGTAGCTTTTTTTCAGATCTGTGAAAATGGCTGATATTTTCATAAGATCATGTTTTCAACACCTCAAGGTGTACAATTTTTAGCATTTTGAATATGGTGTGCAACAAAATTTTCTTTTAAAGTAATTCCACCTAAATATTTAAGTATTTAAAATATCTGAAACTGACCCTCCCCCCTCTCATGTGCTCTCTCTCATTCTCTCTCTCTCTCAAATAAATAAATTCCTTTTTTTTTTTTAAAGATTTTTATCCATTTATTTGACAGAGAGAGACAATGAGAGAGGAAACACAAGCAGGGGGAGTGGGACAGGGAGAAGCAGGCCCCCCGCGGAGCAGGGAGCCCGATGCGGGGCTCGATCCCAAGACCCTGGGACCACGACCTGAGCTGAAGGCAGACGCCCAACGACTGAGCCACCCAGGCGCCCCAATAAATAAAATCTTTAAAAAAAAACCCAAACCAGGTTTTGGCGTCTTCTTCCCTCAGGCCGGTCTAGTAGACCACAACTACACACGCCCAGCCGGGACCCTGCGGAGCTTGACCACCCAGAACTGGGCGACCACGCCTACCCCCTGCGCCTGCGGACAGGCCAGCTCCGAAAAGCGCCCAGAGGACCTGCAGGCCCCGCCCCACGGGGCGGGGCCTAGAGGCTCATCGCGCCTGCGCCGAGGCCCGAGGGCGTGCTGCGCCGTTACTTTTGAAACGAGTGGCGGGGAACTGCTGTGGGCGTCTCTGCTGTCGCTCTCTGCCGGGGGGAAGCGCACTCCTTCGTCTGTAGGACTGGCCATGGCGCTGCAGCTCTCCCGGGAGCAAGGCATCACCCTGCGCGGGAGCGCCGAAATCGTGGCCGAGTTCTTCTGTAAGTCGTCCTCGCGCAGGCCGGAGGGCGGGGTGAACTGAGGCCAGGCCGCCCGGTAGGCCCGGGGCTCAGCCGCGGAGGCGGGGGAAGCGGGAGGGGGTGGAGGGGAGGCCGCGAGGCCGCGAGGCCGCGAATTAAGCTCTCTCTGCCCCAGCCTCCTGCCCGGCGGGAGAATCTAGGAAGAAGCGGATGCAGACGCCGCCTCCGGGCTCCTTGCTAATGGTGGAGCTTGAGGCCTAGGTGCTGCTGAGGCCTGCGGCGCGATGTAGCCCCTCCACCTGCAGCGTTGCTTTCAACTACAGAGCCAGGCACTTTCCGCCCGCCCCCAGCCTCCGCGACTTCAGACGGAGTAGGACCGGGGTGGGGGCCACGTATATTTTTAACAACCCCTCGGCCCCTCTTTGATTCTGGTATTGGCGGTGATGGACTAGAGTTAGGAAACGCCATTCCGGACCAGGACAGTTGTGCCTTCTGATAGGATCTGGCAGGACTTGTGAGGAGAAAAGGAGGAAAAAGAGGGAAAGGTTTGCTGAGAGCATTGCAGAGAACAGTTAATCAGTTGCTAACTGAGATGCAAAAGCCTATTTTGACAGCCTCTAACCACATAATCTGAATTGGGACTTGGATTACAGTGAGTTGTAGTACTACTTTGACAGTAGATTAATGCAGTTTGGCGTTTTTCTCTTTTTTTGCCACAGAAATGCAGGTATCGTGTTCTCTCTTAATTAGAAGCAAGGTTTTAAGAATGTTTAATGCCACTTTTTAGGAATACTTTTATTACAGCCCATCAGGGGCTGTAACTTTAACCTACGAATTGGTGTGGGAGGGAGACACAATTCAATCTATGGCAAGCAGCAATAGTTCAGCTCTCCCCACCGCGGCGTGCACTCACGCACACGCGCACGCACGCACGCATTCTCGCGCACGCCCGCACGCATTCTCGCGCACGCACGCATTCTCGCGCACGCACGCACGCATTCTCGCGCAGGCACGCACTCACAAGGCGCGGCCCCGGGAAAGGGGACTAGAGTTTATGTGTCCTACCGTCAGCAGCTGGGAAGCTGTGTAGGCCCCTCTCTTCCTTCTCCAGGCCTTACAGGGGTCCTAGCCTGCTGCAAGGGGTAAGTTAAAGGGGTTTATGGAAGATCTTGCGGCACACTGGGCAACACTCCATCTGGTCAGCCATCAAAAGAGTTCTAAAGATCATTGAGTAAAAAATATATTCACTGGACATAGATTGGAAAAACAGCCAGTCTGCTTAGTCCCTGGGCCCAAGACATGGACAGTATTTGGAGGCAAGAGTACAACATAAGGAAATCATCAGAAGCACAGGCAAAGAATTATGTACCAGGATGTTCATAGAAGCATTATTTAAAGTTGCAGAACAACCAAAAAAAAAAACCTGGACTCAAACCAAATAGCCCAAAATATGGGATAGTTAAATAAGATGGGCTATTAAACAGACATTAAATATTATGTTTTCAAAATATATTTAATTAAATGGAAAAATACCAGATACTGTAAAGTTAAAAAACATGCACAGCCGTATATATAGTATGTTTTAAATCAGTGTCAAAAGTGCTACGTTCAAAATGAGCCGAGACTTGTGAAAAATACTTAGGACAATATAAAATACTCTTCCATCATATTTTAGGCAATGAGAAAAGACAAGGCAGGAAAAGAACCGTACTGCTTGGGGAAGAGAGCAATTTGCTAACAAACATTAGAATTTCTTTTTCTCCAGCCAGGAAAATGATCTTCAAATTCTACAAATAGAATATGCAAAGAAAACGTAAATTTCAACACCAAATGGTGAAGAAAGCTAGTAGTCCATAGTTTAGATAAAGATAAAAATCCTGTGTTTGTGTACCATCACATCTATGACACTGGGCACATTGGCACATAATACCATCTCAGTTAAACTTGTGACAAACAACTAAGTATAAGAATGAATACAATGAATACGCACTGAGAAGTATTCAAAATGGTGGTTATCAGTAGCTTAGAAGTGGGAGATATGCAAAGATAATTGATTAAAGGGTATAAGCTTCCAGTTACAGGATTAGCAAGTTCAGGGGCACCTGAGTGGCTCAGTGGGTTAAGCATTTGCCTTTGGCTCAGGTCATGATCCCGGGGTCCCGGCATTGGGCTCCCTGCTCAGTGGGGAGCCTGCCAGGGAGCCTGCTTCTCCCTCCCTCCTCGCTCTTGCTCTCTCTCGCTATCTCTGTCTCTCTCAAATAAAAAAATAAAATTTTGAAAAAAACTAAGATTAACAAGTTCTGGGGCTCTAATGTATAACATGGTGATTACAGCTAATAATACTTTGTATTATATATGTTTATTTATATTTATATTATTATAGCTAATAATACACTTTAAAGTTGGTAAAAGAGTAACTCTTAAATGTTCTCACTACAAAAAAGAAATGGTAATTATGTGACAGGACAGAGGAGTTAGCCATAGGATTATGACTTAGTCATAATCATTTTGTAATACACAAGTTTATTAAATCAACACCCTGTATACCTTAAACTTACACAATGTTATATGTCAATTCCCTCTCAATAAAGTGGGGTAAAATTTTTTAAATATATATTTTTTAAAGTATCAAGGACTTCAAAAAAATTCAGTGATATATCGAGTTGCTCAAAAAATGTCCAGGTATGTCCTCAGTATTTGTAGATAAATTTCAAAACATCAACGAATCTCTTGAACGGTTTCAGAAGAGTGTGTAGAGATTTTCCAATAATTTATCCTGGAAATGAAAATTGATGTATTCGATACATTCAATCCTAAAGACCAAGGAGATGTTAGAGCAGATTGCCATACAGGTGATTGATCAGAAGGGATTGTCGTGCTTAATGTCAAAACAATTATATATCCTTTTAACCATATGTGACCCAACAGAACTCAGCCTCTGCTGGTAATTGTCTTTCATTATTTGGTTAAAAAATTTTTTTTTAACAAAAATAGGGAACCACTGGAGATTTTTGAACAGGGAAACACCTCTCATTGATAAAGATCAGTCAGTTCTGTACCTAATACACTGGAAATTGAAGAGACTGGAGGCCTAAAGATCAAGCATATGACAAACTAGAATATTCTAGGTAAAAGCAGTAATAGGGTAAGAAATACAAAGTAAAAGTCAAAAGGGTGTTAATAGTAGAGACATAAAGAGAAAAGCAGCAGTACAACTGACCTAGCTGGAAGATGGAAACAGAAAAAATCAGAGACTATGCCAAGATTTCAAAATTGGATGGCTAAGTGAATAGTTGTGCCATGACTAGAAAGAAGAAAGTCGTGTTTCCTAACTTAGAGTGAGGTGATGCTTAATTCGATTATTACTCATTATACGTTGGAACTCTCAAATAGCGCATTGAGATTATGGACCCGGCCCTCTGGAGAAAAGTATATGCAGTCCTGCGCCTACACCGTGACGGAACCCGGGAGGTGGGGGTGTGGGGGTGGGGGGGCGCCGAGGTTGTGCACATAGCCTGCTGGGCCAGGTGGAGCACGCCATCTGCTGTGACTGATATTCGCAAAAATGAGTCCCCGTGTTCTACGAAAAAGAAGTTCATTGAGTTTTGAGTGTAGTCCACGTCCACTAACTGCTTCCTCTTATTCCATTCTTTACTGTGTGCTGAAGACCCATCAACGAATAAAGCAGTCTCTTGAGATTGCCACGAAGCACAAAATTTTAGAGATTTTTTTCAGTATTCTCTATATAAGAATAACAGTGTGTTGTAGAAATATTTCTATCAGAAATAGTAAAAAAAAAATAGGCTTGTCATTTAAATGCATATTCTTCGGATATCTGGGAAGTGTACTGGCATGGAACAAACTTTTCTTGAGCAATGCTGGGAAAATGAGGTGTTGCTGTATTGGGTTAGTGATATTAAATCAGAGATTATATGTAGACAGTGAAGGGATTGAGAAGTAATTTTGGTTTCCTTTTCAGAACGGGGGGATCAGAGAGATTTTTTTTTTTAATAATAATCATCAAGTACGGTAATGGCAAACACTCTGAAAATATTAAGTGTTGCAAGCAATTTATTATGTCTATTACATTCTCAGAAAGACAATCAGTCAATATTGCAATCTTAAATATAAACTTGCAGAGTGCTAAATCCTCTTGCAAACTAAACTTCAAAACCCTCAACGATGATTGTCTATAATAAACAAGGCAGAGTAGTTTACTTATGGCCCAAAGTTAGACTTTGAAGTTCACTTTTAAAGAACGTATTTGATAGTAGTTCTCCAAAAGAATGTTAATTACGAAAATGAAAGGATGGATTAAGTCCTGTAAAATTTTATTTTTCAAAGAAATGCTT